CCCGAAAACAGCTCGTTTCTCAGAATGAGCATAAGAGTCTACAAATCCACTGCTAAGAATATACTCAAAAGAACTGAAAACTGGTACTCAAAATACTTATCAAATAATAACCAACTGACTAAAATCTTCTGTACACTGGTGTATCCAGTATTTGTAATTTATTTAAAAGTAATATATGCCCATGTCAAAAAAAAAAGGGAAAAGTTATATTAAACAGCACAGGAATATATAAAGTGATAAATTTAAAATGTCTTCTCTTCTCATCATAGAGGTATTTCCTCAAAGGTGACCTGTTAAATATTCTTGACTCCTTCCAAGTCTGTCATAGAATGTCTTAAAGAGACTGTCTTAAAAATGGTAATCAATACTCATGAAAAGATCTCAAGGAAAAATAGTATAAGTAAATATTACTATGAAATGAGACCAGAAATAGACTATACAGCAAATTATCCAAAAAATTAATCTCTATTATTGGAAAAGAGCTCTAGTTCAAACTTTAATTTGTTAATCTAATCTTTATGGTAAACTTTTAAAGTACTTCATACTTTCTACCTAGATTTATATTCCCAGATCCTTCTCCTTGTCCTACATCACTTAGAGAACTACATGCTAATATATAAATGGGTAGCTGACTATACCACCCCAAAATGTACTTTTTTTGGCATAGAATTATTCTGAAGTGGTTATTTTTGAAAGGCATGTAGGTAGACAGAGGAGAACCTCTGAAAATGGAATAGCAATTGTCTTTTTGTAAGTGTCTTTCACATTAGTAAGGATTAGTAAGGGAAAACTCCATTTGTTAGGGTGTCTTCTCTGTACCATGAAGATGAGGATGCCTCTAAATCCTAAGAAACGAATCAATGGAGAGGGTCCCAAAATTAAATCTGCATAATAATCTTACAGACACGTACTATGCTTTTCCTAGTAACCTCTCTTACAAGGTCATCTCACTCCTAAGATCTTTCTTCCTCTTAAGAGGTAGAAGTTACTTAAGGTGGTGGCTTGGGCCATTTCGGAGAGTTACTCAAATTCCCTGGGTATCTCCCAGGTATACAGAAGATAAACCATCATAAAACTCCTTTTCGCATGTTAATTTCTTTTTATTACAGAATCTCAGCCAAAAACCTAGAAGGCTAGAGGAAAATTATTTTTCCTCACTCACAGGAGGCATTCATACATATTTTATCTCTGTTCTACCTGCATAAAAGCCTTATTACACTTAAGTTTTTGTTGTTTGGATTTATGGTGTCAATTTATAAGCCAATCATTTGAAGTTTCAAAACAAGATCATAAAATATGCCAAGTCATTAAATAAACTCCATTAACAGTCTACAAATATGTATATACAGGCCTTAATTTGTCAACTCAATCTTATCAGTATTCTTAACACAAATTAGCTCTCTGGATACTTCATTTCAAAAATATTAGTATTGTTCATTTAGCATCATTTGCAAGGAACTCAAAATATCACAAGTAGCAATATAAAAATAAACTTTAAAATGAAAAATCCTAACATCTATATCTGAAAAAGTATCTAATTCTATAGCCAGCAAAGCACTAAAATTTCATTTTGGTTTAAATTCAGGCACAAAAATCTATGTTACCCCTTAAGTCATAAAAATTTACAGGTAAAACAATTTTACTCTGTACATGAAATAAGGAACCCAAAGTACATCTTATTGGATTACATAGCTATTTAATTTTTAAAATTAAGCCAAAATTAAGAAAGTCCCTTTTTATATCCTGAGTTATAAATTGTTTTCAGACATAAAAACATTCCCTATAATCTATTCCATCTTTATGACCAGTATTGCATCAAAATTTTATAGTAACATTCCTCTTCAGTGCCTACTCAAGACTTTGTCCTGTAATATGAAAACAATAAAACCACTATTGTTCAGAAAACAACTTTCCTAACAATAAAATATCTTTTAAATGCACAAACTGAAAGCTAAATGTATAAATAACAAAACATGACATTATTTCTATGGTCACTTTAACTCAAAACAACTTTGTTAACTAGAAATAAATATGTTTATTAGCAAACAGGAAAAAACATAATGTAAGATTACCTTAAATATCATTCAAATATTACAGCATAATCACTTATGAAACTGCTTCCTCCATGCAAGCAAATCGAATTTAGAAAAATGCATGCTTTAATATATTTTAAAATATTTCCATTACCCCCAAATTTTTAAACATTTTAAAAATTTTAAACAACTATTCTATCTCCAGGACATAAAGCAAACACATTGCTGAAGAGTAAACAGAACTTTTTTACTAATCTTTTTACTGATTAAAAGAATTACAAAAAAAAAAAGTAAGATTATCTAGATCAAACTATGAATCAAAAAAAAAAAAACTAAAAAATGATAAAGATGCTTCTAAATAAACAACAGCAATGCATATTTTAGCAATAGTTCCTTAGGAGAGAATGAAGGAATGCTCTGATATTAAAGGATGCTATTAACAATAAGATCCTAATTCTATTTCAACTCTACTATTCTTTATCCTAACATAACACAAAAAAAAAATCAACCCAAAACAATTTCGAAATTGCAATAAATTTGTTGTTAATTTCTGGACAAAGATTTGGCTAATTACTTAAACTACACTATAAATATAAGTTAAAACCTCTAGTTACCATAAGAATAAATGTTTATTGATTCTGGTTTAACTACAATCTATTTGAGATCATATGATAATTCAAAACTCTAATTAAGGTATCATCACCTGTTTATAGCTTACTTTTAAATTTTACTGAAAACAATATACTTTAGTAATTTATATTTTAATCTGAAATACTCAAAATTATAAAGCACACGGCAATCTCATAAAAATTCTTACATTACAGAATTTTAAAACTGCATTACTATTCTAAAGGCATATAACAACATGTTTGTGAGTGTATACCTCAGAATATTTTCTGAGAAAGAGATTCATGAGTTTGTGAGTGTATACCTCAGAATATTTTACAGCACTAAAGTTACTTTCATGTTAGGTTGAATTTTCACCTAAGCAGGTAGGAATTCATGATATGTCAAAGTTAAGTGAAGTTAATCAATTTAATTTTTTATTTCCATTTCACTCAAAACATTCATAGTAGTTTAACAAAACAACATTACCGAGTGTTTTATGAATTCTTCCAAATATGATAGTTCAAATCTCTTCATATTTAAAATGTAATCATATTTAAAGTGGAAAAACATATATGAATCTTCACAATAACTAAAAAAAAAATCAGTTACTTAAAATATAAACCCAATATTGTACAGTATCTAACTGGTATCTAATATTAAGCACCACCCATTCAGGATTCACTTGAACTTCTCACCTAGATATTTAAAGTTGTCAAAAGTTTTGAGACATTATTCACAAAAATATCAAACATATTACTTTTATTTCTTAATTATCATAACAGAAATCATAGATGTGCCCATTCTTTTCCAAATTACCATCAGTACAGTACAGGCAACTTCACCAACCTCAAGTTATATGGTAAAGTCACAATACAGAGCAGGATTCTTTGCAGTTGGAAAAAATGTTTAATCTATTGTACTAAGTTTAAAAGCAATATACTTAACTCAAATCTTTTCTAAAAATTACTAGAACAATCACCATGGCTTAAATCATATGAGAGCAAGTCAGTATTTTTTCTTGCAGTGCTATTTTTAGAGTATTTCATGTTTTATCAAATAGAGTAGATTTAGTGAGGCAAAATTATTAGAGTGGAGTTAATTTTTTAAATAGTAAAAAATATTAGTAAATTTTTTTAATTACAACATTTACAGAAAATTATTAATAATCACAAAATCAAAAAAGTGAGATTAGCAGTGAAAGAAGTTTATGATTATGGGAATACAAACTAAAAATAAGAATTCTAGGCAGAAAGTCTTAAAAATAAAAATTTAATACTCATTAGCGTCAACTATATTATAAATGATATAGAAATTATAGGAAGTGAATTGAAGTAGAAAACAGCTAATGAAAGCAGCATTTATTGCACACAGACAAACTTTTATGGTATCGAATGCATATATTATTTTGGCCATGTTTTTCTCAGTGGATAAAAAAATGAGGTAAGAAAGAGTGCAATGGCCTTTGTAGAACAGTCAGTATTCGTAAGTAACTGTTTTACTAGCTGATAAATACATTGCAGATTTATGAATGCTGCTGTGAAGCTTGGGAACGACACAAGATTTATATTTGTAGGTAATAGTGGTCAATCTTTATTGAACGATAAGGAAGTATAGCAGCCGAGGACAAAGCTTACTTATCTATAGTATTTCCCTGTTTTTATGTCCTCTCTTCTCTAAAGCTCCCCCTTCATTTCTCCTCCCCCTATTTCCCCCGCCATCTTGGCGGATAAGGGCAGCCATTAACTAAATGGCAGTGCCAAGAAGTTTTTACTGTAATAAACAGGGTTTCGTATCTGATGTCTGACTCAGGAAATAAGGATAAAGGAGAAAAACAGAGATACGTAGAATTATGAAATGGTAAGGAAAGCAAAATTTGTGTAAGAGTACAGGAAAAGGTGTAAATAAATCACTTAAGTTCAGGAGCAGCACATACAAATCAGTGTATTGGTGAAATGCCGAATTCAAAGTCTTCACGGATGTAACTAGGTAGAAGTTATTCGTTTTGAGATCTGGGATATAAGTAAAGTTAGTAGATATAGTTAAAATAACACGCTACATACGATCGGCAAAAGAAACATCGTTGGGGTGTATAACTCGGGACTTTTGAAAACAGCACACATTCACGATCTTTTGAGTGTAAAATTGAGAGATCTAAGGAAAATGTTCGAAAATGTTTTGCAGCTAAAGCTTCAAAACAGTGTCGGAAAACTGAAGAAGGGTATTCAGCCTGGGGGAAGAGATAAACACTGTTTTTCCTTCGAGGCAACAATGACCGAGAACCGGTCTCGGGTGCTTCAGCAGGCGAAGCTAAAAGGGCGCTGTCAGAAAAAACAGTGTCGGCCGGCGCGGTTGCCTTACCTTGCCCAATAAGGTCTTCGTGCTAGCGCCATCTTCTTGTATCTTAACGAAACCAAAGAGACGGCTATGGGAAGAGATACAGGAGGTTCATTAATGTTTTAGGAAAACCACTTACAGTGCCTTCATAAACATAAGTCCCCGGAAGAGGCGGCCGCTTTCCAAGATAACACCCATGCTGCCACCTGAGGTGAGCCGCTCTAGACGACCCGCGAGAGCGGTGCCGGGTACCACAGAGCCCAGTTAAGGAATTCATTGTGCTCCTTACCTGTCCATTCCGTCCAGCGCCTCCCTCTCTTCCTCTGTCAAGCTTAAGGGCCCCTGCTTGGTCTCCCCTGTAGCTTTTCCCGCCGCCATTTTCTTTTTCTCATCACCGAAAGCAGCGGTGGAGGGAGCGAGCGACACTCCACAGGCTTCCATGGAAACGCAACAAATTTAAACCAACGAACCCCAACTCCAGAGATCAAAACCAACGAACCCCAACTCGAAAGATCAAAAAAGGCCGTTGCCGTGCGATACTTGCACACAAACTTTACCGACTCCTGCTCTTTCACTGCAAACGATGGCGACAACAATCCCAAGGCGCAGCGAAAGCTGCAGATGCAGGAGTTGCGGACCGCGGCTGTCAGATTACATTTTTGAATAGACGTGGAGACCAGGAAAGGCTGAGGCTGACCATAGTAGGGCGATGTCTTAGAATCGCAAACTTCGCCAGCACAAAGTTGTAATTGCGTGACGGGGCGAACCCCAAGTCGCTGTGACGCCTCGCCCCCTCCCAACCATCCGGCGCCGCCAATTGACGTGACGGGTTTGTCTCACGTGATTTTTCCTCACTCGTCGCAGATGTGCTTCCACTAAACTTCGTAGCCTCCACACACGTAACCAAAACTCCACCCCACAACATGCACATATTTCTCTCCGTAAACACAGTCACCAGGAACTCCAAACTCTTTCTTACTGCTACCTCAACTCAGGTACACAACATGACCAATTAACTTACCTGTTTGAAAGCACTACAGCAGAAATATACCATGCTCTACCACACATAAACCCTAACTTTCTCCGCAGCACAGGGTATTCTATGGTGCACATATCTATCAGCACCTACCCACTTTCCCGTTGTGGATAAATACATTACCCTGAACTTCCGCTATCTGAAGACTCTTCATTTTTGTCACCTCTGAAATTATTACCCCGGAAACCCATACTTTCCCTATTCTGTCCCCTTTCTTCAAAATCCATAAAATCGAAAAACTAAACATCCTGAGACTTTACATCCTAACACTGACTGAAGACTCCATTCTAGGATTTGCATGACTAACTACAACTATCGTAAATTAACTCCGATGTTCTTTTACGACAATTCTATACAACATGAGTTTATCAGTACACAGGATCGAATCCAGAAAGATTGCAACAACTTAACCTGAAAGTCTAAACCATTCTTACCCACACCTCTGAGATCACAGTGGAGCTTTAATGAGAGCTGCTTCTACACAACTCTAACAGAATTTATAGTTACAATGACCGCAATTTTAAGATACACTAAGCCGTATAAAGCAAATCATAATACCACTTGCCTCTTAAGTTATAGTTGTAAATAAATACTTACTATAGAAAAAAACAGGCCTATGTCAATGACTGTTTTCAAAACGCAAATTCTAAAACAATATTTCATATAACATATCTTTTATAGGCTATACCTCCAGACTATAAGAGTAGAAAAATGCTAATGCTTTAAAATCATTTAAGGAAATACAGTTTTGTATGTTTGGGGTAAATAAATTTCCATAAATTCGACAACACATCTTTAAATTTTCATTTATTTAAAGACGACCATATAGAGATAGCTGACAAATTCTAACAGTATTTAGTAAAAAGCTAAAATCCCAACTACTTTGCACAAACATATTTTCATTACTCTACTGAAAGTAGTAACTAAACTACCTTGTTATATAGATTGAAGTCTATGTTTAATTACTTTCTCTTAAACACCTCTTTTGACTTACTCTATTTTAGTTCTGATTACAGAACCCTAAGTTTACAACAGTTGTGTTAACATAAATACATTAACTGTAACAAATGTTCACTCTCAAGATAGGAATTTTTCGATAATCCACTGGAATAAACACAGCTATAGAAACTATGGAATATGTATAGAATATGTATAATTCATAACCTATACAGATCTAAAGAAATCACATAATAGTCTACTGCCATGAACAAGCCGGATCCTGTCAGTTCTCAGAGGCTAAGCAGGGTAGGGCCTGGTTAGCACCTGGATGGGAGACCACCTAGGCAGACCGGGTACTGTAGGCATAAAAAATAAATAAGTAAATAAAAATAAGGCATTGTAAGCTGACAACGTCTTTGCAATCGGTGAGGTCAACCAACAGTTGCCTCACCTAAAAATTAAAATTAAAAAAAAGAGAGATCACATAACAAAATCATGATTTAACCCCATTTACAAATAGTCATTAAGGTTCTCCTTTATACTGGCATCAAAAATAAGTTCAAAAATGTTTACCAACAAGCCTAATTTTTACTGACTCTCCTCATTCTTACTCATGTTATAAAAATTATGTACAGACATACTTAGAAGATATTGCAGACCACCACTATAAAGTATAACAATATAGTAAGTCACACAAATCATTTTATTTCCAATTGATATAAAAGTTATGTTCAAAATCAATGTATTATAGTCTATTAAGTGTACTATAACACAATGTCTAAAAAAAAATGTACCTTAATTAAAAAATACTTTTGTACACCTGAAACTAACTGTATTTTGTTAACCAATGTCATCATTAAATACATACATACATTTATACATACATACATACATACATACTTTCTGGCTAAAAAATACTGACCATCACCTAAGCCTTCAGCTAATCATATAATCATTTTGCCGGTGAAGGGTCTTGTCTTGATGTCGATGGCCACTGACTGATCAGGATGGTAGTCACTGAACGTTGGGGTGCCTGTGACGATTTCTTATAAGACAACAATGAAGTCTGCCAGATCAGTTGAGTTTCCTTTCACAAATGATTTCTCGGAAGCATTCAGTGCTGTTTGACAGCATTTTCCCATGGTAGAACTTCTTTCAGAATTGGAGTCAGTCATTTCAACAGTCTTCACAGCATCTTCACGAGCGGTAAATTCCATCTCAAGCAACCCTTTCTTTGCTCATTTATAAGAAGTAACTGATGATCCATTAAAGTGTATCGTGAGATGGCAGCAATTCAGTCACAGCTCCAGGCTTCAGACCTGATTCTAGATTTCTTGCTTTTTCCACCACATTTGCAGTGACTTCCTCCTTTGAGTCTTGAACCCTTCAAAGTTACCTGTGAAGGTTGGAGTCGGCTTCCTCCCAACTCTTGCAATTGTTGGCATTTGACCACTTCCCATGAATCATGAATGTTCTTAAAGGCACCTCGAATGGGGAATTTTTCCTAGAAAGTTTCCACTTACTTTGCCCAGGTCCTCCAGAGGGAACACTGTCTATGGCAGCTGTAGCTTTACAAAACATATTTTCTTAAACAGTAGGCTTGGAAGTCAATATTACACCTCGATCCTTGGGATGCTGAAAGGAAGTTGTGTTAGCAGTCACAAAAAGAACATTAATTTCATTGTCTGTTGCCACTAGAGCTCTTCGGTGACCAGGTGCCTTGTCAGTGAGTAGTACCACTTTGAAAGGAATCTTTTTTCAGCAGTAGATCTCAACAATGGGCTTCCGATATTCAGAAAACCATGTTGTAAACATGTGCTGTCATCCAGGCCTTGTTGTTCCACATAGAGAGCACAGGCAGAGTAGCTTTAGCATAATTCCAAAGGCCCTAAGATACTCAGAATGGAAAATGAGCACTGGCTGAGCTTCAAGCCATCGTCTGCATTTGGCCTTAATGAGAGAGTCAGCCTGTCCCGGAAAGCTTTGAAGCTAGGCAGCAACTTCTCTCTAGCTGTGGATGTCCTAGATGGCACCTTCTCTAACACAGGCTGTTTTGTGTGCACTGAAAACCTGTTGCTTAGTGTAGCTCCCTTCTTTCATTAATCATGTTAGCTCGATCCTCTGAACAACTTGCTGCAGCATCTATGTCAGCCCTTGCTGCTTCTTCAACTTGGACTTTGATGTTGCAGACGGCTTCTTCGCTTGAATAGCACGACCCAGGTCCTGCTGGCTTCAGGCTCTCTCCTGCAGCTTCTTCACGTCCCTCAGCCTTCATAGAACTAGGAGAGTTAAGGCCTTGCTCTTCATTAGGCTCTGGTTTAAAGGACTTTTGTGGCTGATCTGATCATTCAGACCACTAAAGCTTTCTTTGTTGCAGCAGTAAGGCTTTTTGACTCTCTTGTCATCTCTGCATTCACTGAATAGTGCTTTTATTTCCTTCAAGATGTTTCTTTGCAATCACAGCTTGGCTAACCTTGTTGAAGGAGGCCCGGCTCTTGGCCTGTCTTGGCTTTGGATATGCCTTCCTCACTAAGCTTAATGATTTCCAGCTTCTGATCTAAAGAGAGAAACATGTGACCCTTCCTTTCACTTGAACCCTTAGAAACCATTGTGGGGTTATTAACTGGCCTGATTTCAAAATTGTTGGGTGTCAGGGAACAGTGAGGCTTGAGCAGAAAGAGACAAGACGGGTGGGGAAACAGCTGATGGGTGGAGCAGTCAAAGCACACACAACTGTGTGGATTAAGTTAGCTTCTTATAAGGGCGGGGTTTGCGTCACCCCAGAATAATTAGAATAGTAACATCAAAGGTCATTGATCACACTTCAGTATTAAAATATAATAATAATGAAAGTTTTGTCATATAATGAGAATCACCAAAATATGACGCTGAGACACAAAGGGAGGAAATAATTGGAAAATGGCACATATACACTTTCTCGATGCAAGGTTTACAAAAACCTTCGATTTGTAAAAATGAGGTATGTAGAAAACATAATAAAATGAAGTATGCCTGGCTTCAAAAACATTTATCACAAAACGAAATATTGCCTGTGGGTTGAACGGAAATAGGGAGACCAGTAAGAGCAGATTTTCAGTTACTGTGACAATTTCAGTTATTAAAAACCATTTGCTTTTTGTTCTAATCTAGAATATTTTGAAGTGTACGCTTCTGGACAATAACATGCAGTATAGCAATCTTATTTTACCACTTGTGCATAGAAAAGTAGTCAATTATAAGTTACTGTGTGTTCCTATTCATATAGTTTGGCCTCATCCCTTTCCATTTTACTCCAACCCCTTGAAGCACTGGCCTAATTTTGAACTATGAGGAAGACAGAAAGTGAGAGACAATGCAAGAGAAAGGGAGAAAGGAGTGAGAAAAACCTTTACTACAAACTCTGAAATACCTTTACTAGTAAAGGTATTTACCTTTACTAATACCTTTAATAGTAAAGGTATTTCCACAACTAAAACAGATGAATAACTACTTTTTCTCTCAACTTTTGGCTTTACTTCTAACAAGCACACATTTCTCTGGTATCATGTCTTTAGAGCAACAGAGTAACCTTCTCTTTTCAGACCCCTGAGGACACAACTACCAGACCACAAGGCAACAAAACTCCTTCTTGTTATGTTCTTGCTTACATACCATCTCTATATGTTATAAATGTTAAATTTAAATATAAAATAATTATGCATCTCTGTTTTATTCTTCATCCAATCTCAGAGATTTCATCTTTTTTTCAGAGATGTCCCCACTTTGTTTCCTACAGGCTATCTACCCAATGAATTTTATACCATACTTATGTCTTCTGCTTCAATTCTAATGTGTAAATAAGCTGAAAAC